TGGCATGAATGCACAGCTCGCCAAAATTATCTGCAGTTTCATCAGTAACTAACACAATAATGACAAACCAAATAGCAAGAACTTCATGACAAACCAAAGGGAGTGTAAACAGTGAGAAAGAATGAAATGACATGTTGAAATATTATCTCAGGCTCCTCTTTCTCTATATATAGAGTGACTTTTTCCAAAGTGACCAAAGAAAGCATCAGGAAAGATCTAGTCTGCAAGCGGAGATGACTACCTTTGCATGCAAGTTGGTATACATTTCTCTTTTTTTTCCCCAAATAGAATTTTTGCAGTACATATTTTTTTCCTTTCCGCTATTCTATAAGGTCTGTGGCATAAATTAGGTACAGAAAGAAAAATAAATCTGGATCAGCTGTGGTTAAAATAATAGTATGAGGTCATATCTGAGAGATATCAATTATCTTGCAAGGAATTATTTCTAAAAAGCAGAGAAAACTGGATTTAAAAGCACATTTATATTTAATGTCTGATACATAACAGAGGAAGGTAAACGAAAAGAGTTCAGAGCACAGCAACAAAAAAACCCTACATGATTTGATAGATGGAGGAGACTGAAGACTGAAAAAGTCCTCCACAACAAAGAAGTTATGAATAACAAAGTATCTGAAAGATGTAAACACCAAAGGATGGAAACCAATCCTTTCCAGTCAAGAAAGTATAGGAACAGATACCCAGAAAGATAAAACAAAGATGTTCTTGAAAAGCAATTTTAGGACTAATATTAAGCTAAAAAAATCTTCCTGAATTTAAAATCTATTAGACTGGAAAAGTCACCCAAGAGATGCAACAGAAAAGTCAAGCAATGGTGTTATAGTATAGAATGGGGATGAGACAAAGAAATTTGCTGCAGGTATAATATAAAATTTGCAGTTAGAATAGGGCTTATTGATTTTCATATGGAGGGGAAGTTTTGTGCTGATATGTGGCATTTTTTGTAGCACGAAGGATAGCAGGGATGTCTAGTAGTAGAGACTGTGGATCCCATTTCTTCATAGTGCTTTGGCAAACAGGAGATTGTTATCATTTAATATGTGAATGTGCCAAATACCAAATTTATTCA